GAAATATATTAGATATTATTTATATAAATTTGTATTATAATATAATAGAGAAGAATATTCATATGAAATTATCTAGAAGGGGGAGTTGTGGAGAAAGGTGTGAAATGAAATAATGGGATGTGGGTTTGAGAAAAAACCAAGTATATATTTTTCATCTTGAAAGTAAATGATGAAGGTAAAATTTGAGTAAATGACTTTGCAATGAACCATCAAGGTTCTTACTAACTAAGCTGACTAATACCATCAAAATATGTTGGATAATCTCTCGAACCTTCAACCTTTGTTTAGTGGATCTAGTACACTACCATTAGAACAATATTTTATATATAAAAATATATTAGACGAGATTATGAATCATTAACTTTTAATAAGTAGGTCTAGTATGCTACTACAACTGGACCAACGTTTTAGTTATAATTTGATTATGATTGGTGCACTATGGATTCCTTTTTTTTATTATTTTAAAAATAAAAAATGGTATGCTTCGAATCATATTTTACTTTTTAATATTTAAATTTATGATATGGAATGCATCTCATCGTTCATTATTTATTTCCTACTTTTAATTACTCTAATAAGAAATAATTTAATTAATTTTAATTTTAAAATAAAAATATTATGGAATAAATCATTCACCATCAACTAAGATCCTCCCTCATCCCCTATATAAACTTGGACAGACACCTCTTACTTTTTATCTTATTATTGATAGGTTAAATTCTACTGCACGGAACGAGCAACATCGCAATCATGATATTGTAGGTTCTTCACTTTTTATCTTTGGTTTAAGTATTGAAATTATTGTTTGATTTATAGTTACTTGACGTTTCATTAAAATGATGTATGTCTTTCAGATTGTACATTTGAGTATTGTTGATTCTAATTCATCATTATAAAATTTTATATCATGATTTTCATCATATAACGACAGATTAATTATTTGACATAATAATCATTTAGATATTTTAAATTTCAAAATTTAAAATTTACAGTGAAATGTTCAGATACAAATGGGAGAATTGTTGTGGGTTCGGATTTGGTGTAGACCCGTATAGGACCAGCTCGGATTGGACCCAATGTTAGATAACTTGTTCCGATGCTTGCAACCCGGTTCGACCCGATATGTGTGGTCGAACCCAAACCAGGTCGGTTGAGACCGATTGATGGTTCATGCTAATTCAATTTGATTCCAAGTGACTTCAGCTCCAGTTAGGCTAATCGTGATGTCTATCGTGCTAATTATCTCTCTATATCTTAATGAAGCATAGTTAAGGGGGGTTTTACTTGATGCTGAGTTATAGATTTTGATAATTGTTTTGAAAATTCTACACGGTACAAATGCTTGCTTGCATGCATGAAAGTGAACATGATAAATGATGATACGAGAGGATGTTTAATTTTTCGTCAAGGATTAGGATGAGATTATTTCTGTTTTGACGTACGAGAATATTGCTTCATCCATTATCGAGAAATGAAAGTGAAGTTGATATATACAAAATAATAATGAGAGAGAAAATTCCATAATGGACTCTGCTTGCTTTTAATCTTGTCATCGGTCTCTCAGTTGTTGTTTTGCTGGCAACAAACAAGGTGACTCACCGAAAAAGACGATCGACAAAGAAGACAAAAAGGTAAGGCAAATTCGACGATAATTCTTTCTTCTTCTTCTTCTTCTTCTTCTTCTTCTTCTTCTTCTTCTTCTTCTTCTTCTGACTCTTCCCATCGCTATGGAAGCCTATGTCAGCAACTTCTTGTCTCTACTGACTCTATCGCTTTGTTCATTCACTTGAATCGCAGCCTGCAGCAGATGTGAAACTTCCTGCCAAGAAGAAGAAAACAGTCAGGTTCGACCTCCCTCCCACAGTGATGGGTGAAGCCGAGAACAATAGTGAAATGCCCATCTATGATGACGGCTTCTAGCCTTACTCCAACTAGACACGGAGATGAACGTTTGAGATTTTATTAGAAACTATACATAAAGATTTGATTAACGATGTTATTCTCTATAACATTTGAGTTGAATGATTGAAAATAATCCATTGCATGGACATCAAATAGTTGGGATGCTACGATATGTCATTGTTCTCGTCGATTGCTGAATTATGAACTTCCTTAATGCAATAGCCAATTCAACATAAGTTGCCATTGCAAATGATATATAATTCATCATTAGTGTTATCTTTCAACGTAACATCAGCAGCTCTAAATCTCAATCTCTCTCCGTCTCTTTCTTAAAATCTTATGATACAAACTTGTGTTGACTATATATACATACATATAATTATATATATATATATATATGTATATATATATATATATATGTATATATATACATATATACATACACAGTGCAAAACATTTTTTAATCTTTTCACGTACCCACGTATACCGTCAAGCTTAGGCAAGAGCGAAACCTTAAGAGTTTACAGCAGCAGCCAAACATTTGGCCGGTGTTGGTGTGGGTAAAACATATATCGTGTCTGGTGTTATATTTGGGCTTCATCAATCCGAGCCATAAATTACGTGAAACATATACCAAATCGAAGTCAAGTTTCAATCTCCGATTCAAAATCACATGTTACCTAAACTTGGATCAATGATTAAGCTTCCTTTTAAGGATAGAAATTGCAGATATAGACGCCCTTGTATCATTACTCGAGGAAGAACAGAGCATAGGACGGAGAAAGAGAGAACATCATCACATCAGAGAAGAGGTATGTTTCAAAGTCTAGAACTGTTTCTTCTTTTTTCTATATGGATGTGAAGGAGGCAACAAGGTTGAATCTTGGATGTTGGATGAACTCTGATATCAAATTTCATAGCAAAGAAACTTTTTTTCTTTTTAATTTTTGTGAGAATAGAGGAAGAAAAAGATAATAATAGACGAATGATTAAGTCGACTCAAGGATTGACTTCCATAGTCGAAAAAGTAATATAACCAAGAATAGCTATAAGCATACTTGCAGCTTTACCTTATTAATTCATAGTAGAAGGCTATGATGATTCCTAATCCAATGAGTTATTATGATGATTACATGGATAGCTGTAGTTTCACCTTCATGCATCATCAGTGTCACAGTACAAGGATTTAGGGTTTAGATTACCAGTGGATTAATTACTTGTCATTGTTTGTTGGAGTTGATGTTTTCTCGCCATGTGTGATCTGACCACTCTACTAGTATGGGCTTTGCTGTTGAATTCACATCACCACAGAAAGAGAGAGAGAGAGAGAGAGAGAGAGTTCTGCATGCTGCTTATCTTCTCTCTGATGTTTGTCCTCGTCTCTCAGGTCTCTAAACTGCCGGAGAAGATGAGCGACAAAGAAGGCAGCAAGACTCTTAAAGTGCAGGTAAATTTACCCTTCTTCTTCTTCTTCTTCTTCTTCTTCTGTTTGAGCATGTGATGGCTAGGTTTCTGTTTTTCCACTTGCAGACATGTGTTCTGAAGGTGAACACATGCTGTGTCGGGTGCCAGAAGAAAATAAATAAGGTGCTGCATAAGATCGATGGTATGACTCTCTACTTGTGAATTGCTTCATCCTTTGCTGGGTACCTACGCAGGTTTTGATGCTTAGTTGGGGAATTCGCAGGGGTCGAGGGAATCCATCTTGATGCAGAAGGAGGGAAGGTGAGTGTCACCGGGAATGTAGCTCCTGCCGTTCTAATTACAAAGCTTCGCAAGGCTGGGAAAATCGCAGAGTTGTTGCATCCAAAGAGTGGAAACCAGCAGAAGAACAACCAAAATGTGAAGTCCCAAAAGGGTGGTGGTGGTGGTGGTAGTGCTGGAGAAGGACGCAAGTGGTTCAAAAATCTCAAGTTTCCACGTCTCAAGGATCTGAAACTTCCTTTCAACAAGGAGAAGGAAGCAGTCAAGTTCGACATCCTTCCCAAGGAAGTGTCCGGTGATGTGAAGAAGAAGAAGAAGAAAGGTGGTGGTGGTGATGGAGGAGGAGTTCAAGTACAGAACAAGGGTGGCGTGTCATCACCCGTGGTGCTCACCCACGGAGGTGTGATGTCGCCGGAGATGACGGCCGGTGGCAACCCATATCATCATCACCAGCAGCAGCAGAGGATGATGACGATGATGAACGGTCAAGACAGCGTTGGATATGCTTACGGACATACGGGGTACGTGCCGCCGCCGCCCCGCGAAGAGTCGTACTCCAACATGTTCAGCGACGAGAACCCCAACAGCTGCTCAGTTATGTGAGCTTGGTTGCACCACCACGCCCTCCGTTTCTACTTCCTAAGAATTTGGTTTATTTTATTTTCGTCATCTTCTTTAAATATATTTTAGTTTTTCTTGAGATGTAGAATATTTAAATTAATACTTAGATGAGGTAAAGATTTTATTAGAATCTATAAATTAAAGTCTGAATTCGTTTGATTTGACTATAGATATTCTAATTATAATATTACTACATCTTATTGTATCGCTGATTTCTCCTTTTTCATATATATAACACGACGTCAAAAGACTACGTAGATGCATGCATATTAGATGAAGAACATTACTGCTGTGTTCTTACTTTTCTTGGAGATGGGTCTTTAGAGAACCAATGTTGAAGGTGGATGATGGGCGTAACAATGAGAAGAAGAAGAAGAAGAAGCTACCCTAATCATTTGCCTGCCTCCGAGTTTTGGTTTTTTGTACTTGTGGCCTGCAGTTAATTATATTCACAGAGATAAGAAGAAGCTGAATAGAGGCCGAGGTGATAGTGACGAAGGCTTCTCATAAATAGAGTTAAAGCACTTATAACTTGGAAGTATTTGTAGCTCTTTGTTTCTAAATTAATGATGTCATTAATTGATTCTATCAATGCATAGTCTTATCCTAAGAGATAGAGAATTGATCATAAGTATTTTTATCATGAGGTCAACACTCTAAATCAAATGATTAAATAAGTATGTGCGCTTTGGATTTAGTTGTAATTGGGATAGACATCCACCTTTAATTAAATTTGCATTGCATCAATAGTCATCATTTCAATATTCAAATATCTCCTTTTTTTATTTTATTGGAGAAAGTATTTGTTTATTAGGTTGACATTGGAGAAAGAAGCTTAGTTTATTAGGATGACATTAAAGAATGGAAGGTTCTTGAACCATAGTTAATCGAAAGAGATGCAAGTATTATCTCAAGAATCTACAATCAATTTTTTAGAAGACAGAACTAATAGAAAAGAATATATTGATCCAACAAGAAGAGACCTAAAATTCAATGTTGGGGATCTTAGCTTCTTAAAAGTTATGATGTTTTTCATGTGGCAATCTAACAAAGAAAACAAGATCATTTGGGGATATTGTCTGATTTGATGATGAATATTTTTAGTTTTAGTAAGCATAAAGATATTTAAGAAACATTTTTCAACTCATCTAAAGACCTAAAAGAAGTGTACATGAAATATGATCTTAAAAATTTATTAGAACTAGATCGAGCTAGGATTAAGCCATAGTACTCCACAATCGACTATTGGGTGAGTTGAAGTATTTATTGATCACCCAAGAAATCATGAGCATTCTGCATGTAAAAAAGTATGAGAAATTCTAATCTTTATTGGTTGTGTCCTCCGAGTTTTTAATCTCGTCGTAATTTTCTTATATTTTAGTAGAGTTGATAGTTTAAAAAGAGAGTGAAGAAGAAATGTAAAGATTGTCCTTATGACATGGAAACACCGAAGACATAAGTGTTTTGATCTTTACTTATTAAAAAAATCATTAATGAAAGATGATGATCGTAAGAGAAGAGTAATCAAAATAGACGTAAGTAATGGACCCAAACCCCTCTCTTTCTTATCACTTGTGTGTGTTATTTTTAAATTTTTTGTTTACAAGTTTCAAATTGCACGTACACTAATTCAGCCCCCCCTCTTAATGTTATTAGCAATCGGAACGGGGGAAGCATCCACATCTCTATCACAAAGGTAAATCGAATTTGATGACCAAATCTTAAAAATAGGAAAATAATTAGTGCTATTTATTTATTTTTTTAATTTAAAAACCCTAAATCGTTTACACCTCATTACTTTCAAAATTTTCATACTCTAATATGAAACATATCTCTCGTTATTTATTTCTTACCTTTTAAATACCTTGATGAAGAATAAATTAGCCTTTTTTAAATTAAAACAACAAATTAATATAAAACAAATCCTACTACATCAATTTAGATTCTCCCTCCTCCTCTTTATAAATCTGGATAAACACCTTTTTCTTTTCATCTTATCGATCATTCGTGTCGGAAGGAATCAACTTCCAAAGACGAGCCAGTGGGAGTCATCGCTTTTATGGGATGGTAGGTTTTCCACTTCCAACCTCAGTTTAAGTATTGAAATCATCATTCCATTTTGTAGTTGCTTAGTATTCTATTAAAAAAAATTGATATTCATTAATTTTGGATTTCAAATATAAAAATGATACATGTCTCTTTTATATTGTAGATTTGGTTATTCTTATTTTTATTTCTAATTAATTGTTATAGAAATTTCATATCACGATCTGATAGTTATGGAACTAGATATCATGATGAATGTGTCGTCGTCATATATGACAATAGAACAATTATTTGGCATAATAATTATTTATTTTTTTAAGAAAATTGAAAAGTTTAATTTACGTTATGATATTTAGAAGAAAAATGGGGGGAATGATTAGATTCGGTGCATACCCATACAAAGCCAACTCGAGTTAGATCCAACCCAACTTTGGTTGGACCTGATATGGCTAAGGCATAGCATTGATGTTGGGTGAAGTAGAATATACCCAATGCTGAATAGATGACTTGACCGTGACCCAAAATTACCTCAGGTTTAGACCAAGGGCTCGATGTCCCTCTATCTATTGGCTCAATGGATCTAACATGAAATTTAGATCAAGCTTGATATTATGTGGCATATGTTTGGCATGATTTTTCACTATGTGTATGCCATATCATCTAGCATCTATCGTGCTTCATACCAAAACTCATATGCATAAAATATAATGAATATTGGACATCGGATGCAATGAAATTGCTTATAAAGTAGATATAATAAATAAAATGACGAATGATAATACGAGAAGATATTAGTTTCTCTATCGAGGATTAGAAGGGATGACCGGATGAGATATTCTTACTACTTTGCCTAAAGAACATGACCCCATGAATGATTGAAAAATGTAATATGAGTTCTCTTCTTCATTTGTTGGGTGAATAAAGAATCCATCTCGTCAAGTAAATTCTTTCTTGTGAGAGTGAAGAATGTTGTTTAAGCCTTTACTTGTTGCATATCCTCTCTCTCTGATACTTGTCGAGTTTTCAAGGTGCTGTTGTTTTTGCTTGAAAGGATACAGACAACAGGAAAAGACGAGCAACAAAAATGACAAGGATGTCAAGGTAAATTTACCTAATCGTCGTCGTCGTCGTCTTCTTCTTCTTCTTCTTCGTTTGTTTGAGCTAATAATAACTTGGGTTTCTCCTTCTCCACTCTCCACTTGTAGACGTATGTTCTAAAAGTGAACACATGTTGTGCTGCGTGCCAGAAGAAAATAAAGAAGGTGCTGCAGAAGATCGATGGTATGTCATTCTACTTTGGAATTGTTTGATCTTTCACTCGGTATGTATGTACATTTTGATGTTTAGTTGGGGAATTCTCAGGAGTCAATACAATCGATCTCGATGTAAAAGAGAGGAAGGTGACTATTGTTGGGACTGCAGATCCTGCCATTCTAATAAAAAAGCTTCGTAAGGCTCGGAAAATTGCAGAGTTGTTGGTTTCGAAGGAGAATGCCGAGTCCATAAAGGAGGGTGGTGGTGGTGAAGATGGAGAGGAATCCAATGACCCGAAGAACAAGAACAAGAACAAGAAGAAGAATAACAAGAAGAAGAACAAGGAAGGAGACGCGAGTGAAGAGAAGAAAGAAGGTGGCGGTGAGGGAGGGGGAGTTGAAGCACAGAACCGGCAAGCTCCAATGCAGCAGCCGATGATGATCGACGGTGAAGTCGGTAACATCGAAGCATACATGCTGCTGCCTCACCTCGTCGGAGAGCCATTTTGGACTTTGTTCACCGACGACAACCCCAACAAATGCTCGATAATGTGAGGAGGTATTTTTATATTATATGTAGATATGAATTATTTATGTTAATGTTGGTGGAACATTTGACATGATTTTGTTAGAAAGTTATTGATGTCACTATGGATATTCTCTTTTGCTAAAGTAATCAATGATGGAAGGATTGCATGTTCTTGACACCAAATAATCGAAATATTACTTGTTTTTATTTTCATTGATCCATTTAGCTCATTCAACATAACATGCTATTACAAATGAGGATATAATTAAAGATGTTCTTCTCCTATAATGTAAATACATTTTATAGTTGCAAACTATGAAATTGTATCCTACTACATCACCTTATAATGTCTTATAGGACGACTCTTTTGATTTAATATATATGTTTTTTCTAAAAATATAATTAATTCATAGAGAAGAAATGTAAGGTACCTTAATAATCATAATTTTATTCATCATTATTCATCTCTCATATTTCGTCGACCTATGTCACATCCCTTGATATCAAACGTTACAAAATTATATACACAAACATATAAATATATTAGAATTGAACATCCGATTTTGATGTTCCTTCAAGGTGGCTATCTCAAGGCAAATATCTCACAACTCAAAAGTCATATGTAAAATTAGTAATAGGGGTATGTCTTGCAAAAATCATTTAAGTTAATGAGAGATTCAAAGTGAGAATCAAAAAGAGCTTCAAATTCGAAATGAAATGTTTCTCTTACCTAATCAAAACGCTAATTCTATATAAGATTTAGTTTAACATTCCCAACACAATCAGTTTTATTCAACTCGAATCGATAAAAGAAGATCAATAGATCATCTAATATTAAAATGACTCGATCTAAACTTTTGTTTGTTTCAACATCCTCGATTGGCCGCCTCTTCTTGTATAAAAGATCACTATCAAGTGCTTAAATTGGTATTCTCATGTCACTCGACTTCATATTTGATTGGGATCCAAGATTTACAACTGAACATTTACATATAATTGAATTTGCTTACGATAATTATCATTCCAATATTCAAATGACCATGAAGCTCTTTACCGAAGAACATATCGATAACTATCTTATTAGGATGACATTGGAGAATAGAAGCTTCGTCGATCAAAGTTAATTTAGGGAGATGCATAATATATTGTCTAAG